TCTTGACTCAAGCCTTCATCATTGCACAAGCCTCTTGTGGTGCTGGGGATTGAACTCATAAGCTTTATGCATACAAGGCAAGCACTCTACCAACTGAGCTATATCCCCAGCCCTTGCAACAGCCTCTTTTATCTGGTCTCCTGGCTGCCCATCTCACCTCCCTCTGCATGGACCAACAGAGTTCCTCAATTCAACTCTTTCTTTGTTTAACGTTATCTAATTGTTCCCCAAAACTAGAAGAAAAAGCTCCTACTGTGAACTGTGCTACTATAAATATTGGAATGCAAATATCACTATAATATGTGGATTTCAAATCTATCAGATGATTCCCAAGGAGTAGAATAGCAGGGTCATATAATGGTCCCATTCCTAGTCTTTTTTTGTTTTGTTGTTTTGGAGGAGCCTCTATACTCTTTTCTATAGTGGTTATACTAATTTGCAGCCTTACCAACAATGTATCAAAAGTGTTCATTTCGCCCCACATGCTTTGCCATCACTTATTATTATTTATATCCTTGATGCTTGCCTTCTAACCTGGGTGAGATGAAATCTCAGTGTAGTTTTGATTTCCATTTTCCTTCTTGTCAAGGATGCTGAATATTTTTTCATATATTTGTTGTCATTTGCATTTCTTCTTTTTTTGGGTGGGTACCAGGGATTGAACTCAGAGGCACATGACCACTGAGCCACATCTCCAACCTATTTTGTATTTTATTTAGAGACAGGGTCTCACTGAGTTGCTTAAAGCTTCGCTTTTGCTGAGGTTATCTTTGAATTTGCAATCCTCCTGCCTCAGCCTTCCAAGCCACTGGGATTACAGATGTGTGCCACCATGCCCAGATTGCATTTCTTTTTTAAAGAAAAGTCTAGTTCATTTGTCCATTTATTGATTGGTCTATTGGGGTTTTTGTTCTAAGTTTTGAGTTCTTTATATATTCTGGATATTAATCCTCTGTGTGAAGAGTACCTGGCAAAGATTTTCTCCCATTCTGTAGGCTCTTTTCACGCTTTTAATTGTTTCCTTTGTTGTGCAGAAGCTTTTTAATTTGCCATCCTATTTACTGATTTTAAGTGTCCATCAACAGATGAATGAATAAAGAAAATGTGGTATATACACACAATGGAGTTCTATTCAAAGATTTTCTTTTGCTAGTAAATAGATAGGACTGGATAACATCATGCTAAGTAAAATACACCAGACTCAGAAAGTCAAGAGTCAAGAGCCAAATGTTTTCTCTCATGTGGAAGCTAAAAAGAAAAAAGGAATAAAAAGGGGAGTCTCGTGAAAATAGCAGGGAGATCAGTAGAGTAAGGGGGGGGGTTCTGGAGGGAGGAAAGAACTGTGGAATGAAATGGAGCAAATTATGTTATATGCATTTATGAATATGTCACAATGAACCCCACTATTATGTATAATTACAATGTACCAATTTAAAATAAATAGAAGGAAGACCAGCAGAGTAGTAGGGTGTTAGAGAGAGGCAGGAGGAGAGGGAAAGGGAAAATACTGAGAATAAAATGGAGCAAATCATGCTATATGCATTTATGAATGTGTCCAGTGAACCTACTATTATATATAACTATAATGCACAAATAAAAATACATATAAAAAGAAAAGCTCCGGGCTGGGGTTGTAGCTCAGGGATAGAAATTGCATACGTGAGGCAATGGGTTTGATCCTCAGCACAACATATAAATAAAATAAAGGTAATGTGTCCATCTACAACTAAAGAAATATTTTAAAGAAAAAGAAAGAAAAGCTCCTTTACAGAGCAGACTAAGGGCCTCATGTGACCTCTAGCTTCCTTTTTCCTTCTCCTCTGCTATTCCTTACAGCCTCTACTACAGATTCACAAGATACTTGCAGCTTCTAGAAAATTCTGCATCCAGACTTTAGTGCCTGTGGTTCCCCTCATGTACAATAGCTTTTCCTTACACTGGAAAACTTGTGTCCATCTCTGAGCACTCAGTAACTGTCACATCTCTGTGCAACATTTCCTGACTTCTCTGCCCCATGCCATTCCCCACTCTTCTCATCCAGCAAAAGCCCACTTGCTAGGTGTTCACCTAGTCCATTTCAAAACTCATCATGTACAACATAATATCACAATGTATTATTAACAGTTTATTTACTCATATGTCAGTGACCATATATTAACCATCTCTCTAACTGAAGTCTTTTGCTCAGTGACTGGGTAACCAGTAGGTGCTTAGTAGATGTTTATTGGATAAATGAATGAATCTGGTAAGCATGTGAAACTAGATTTGAGGAGATGCTGTGTTAGAGAAGAGGGTATAGATAAAATAGGGTATAGATGGGAAATTTCCTTGGTCATTATTTAAAAATCACCAAATATTAGAATTACAGATCTTCAAAAATCACCCTGACCCACCCTAGTAGATTCTGCTCTTGGGGAATGTTCTTCCTTCCCTCCACTTTACTAGGTACCCCTTTAACTGTATGAACATGATCCTTCCACATTAATTTCAGTCCCAAAGCACCCTCTGTCCCCCTTCCTAAGCCCAGTCCTGCTCTTCATAAACTCCTTCCTCTTTTATTCCTTTCCTCTGCGAGAGCAGCCGCTATGGAAATGCAAAAGGGTGCCACTGTACATTTCTTTGGGAATGGGGGCCATGGTGCCTGTTTATTATGCATTAATCTGAATCAATAAAATAGTTCCTGAGAACCTAAGCACCTCAAAGGGCAGCAAATATGAATCACAACTGCCAGCAAGGATCAAACATTAACCCAGGGTTGTGATGAGGCCAACAAAAGAAATAGGCTAGTAATTGCCTTTCAGGATATCAATCCCTAACTTATACACACATACACTCTCAACACACACAAAACCTTTATGGATCTTTCATCCATGAACTTGCCCAATTATAATTGCCCAGCTGTGTTTTTAGTTGTATTCAGGCTAGGTCCTGGCAACTGAGACCTCATATGCCTGATCCAAGAACTCTGACCAGTTATGAGATCTATAGAGAAAGTCTTTGTTACTGAAATGGTTGAAGACACATTCATAGACAAATATTTCCACAGGTACCATTACTTACTCAGGGCTCATTTAAAACCTCCAAAGCCTGAGTGAAACAAGCAGGAACTGGTACATGCTGTTGATAATCATTATTATCAATTCTCAAACTTGCATTGTGTATCTTTCTGCCCCTGTGCAGATTGAGTTCTTAATTTAACTGTTCTTTTTCATAATAGGAAATTCTGCTAGAAGGATTAGTACTACCAGGGCTGACTTCCAGTAGAACCTTTAAGAGGTTCATAGAAATTTTTAAAATCTTTTAAAATTAGAAAGAAAAAAACTTTTAGATTGAAGTAACAGTTTTAATACATAATGCTAATATATTCATTTTTTGCCAATGCAATTGTAAATGTAACTTTTCATATCTTTTATGGAGGAAGGAGTCCACAAGGCAAAAGTGTTCACGAAAGTCATCATTTGGCCCTGGTTACTACCACACTAGGCTTGCCTCATATCATGGTTATAATACAGCCTTTCAAATACAAGTTTAAATTTCCATACTAGTTAAAAACCATGCAGGAGGTTCCCTAGGTATTTCACACTCTTGTGGCCACCCCAAATTCTACAAGAGGGAAGTCATGATGAATACACACAGCGTTGGGAATTGAGGGAGTTTAAGCATACAAAGAACAGACAGATTCAACTGCTCTCTGTTCTGATGAGAGTAATTCCTGCTCTGCCATTCTTTCTGAAATATCTTCATCCTGCTTTGATTAATAGAAAAAAAATCTTTACATCTTTAGGGATTCATTAAACCAACGTAGTTGCTTCCTTTGCTTTTGTAAAACATTTTAAAGATTTAACTTTTAATGATCAATAATACTATTGATACATATTATTTATTTACTGATCAGAAGCCATATATTCACCATCTCTTCAGTTCCTAGCCCTGTGACTGGCAAACACTAGGTGCTTAATAAATGTTAGACTAACATGTGACTCATTCCTTGGGTAGAAATTAGATTCTGTCCATGGACTAATTTTGTCTTGACTAATCTCCCACTTTGCAAGAACAATCTTCTACCGGTATCACAATCGGCATTTTAGGGTGATCGCCTGGCCCTTCCCACCTCCCTAGCCTCCTGGGCTCTGTTCCTCTCTCTTCTTCATCCAGGGGTCTGGAATGGTCCCCAGCCTGCCAGGAGGCAGCAGGGTCCCTGATCCTCCTATCCTCCGGGTTCGTCCTCCAGCCCCCAGCCCAGGGCTCCCCTTCCTCCGGCCACCCCGCGCCGCCCACAGCCACGCCCTCCCCGTGGGCGAGATCACCTGTCCCTCCTCCGCCGCCGCCTCCTCGGGTACCCTTTCGCCCCCCTCCTGCTCCCCCTCCTCCGCCACCTCCCCCAAGCCCTCCCCTTCCCCGCCTCCTCCCACCCCTTGGTGTATATAGTAAAGGCCGGGCGCCGCACGCAGACACACACTCGCCCGGACACAGGCGCTCACACGCTCACGCACAACCGGCAGCAGCGGCGGCGACAGCAGCTGGTGACAGCGGCGACGGAGGCTCCCACCGCCGTGCACCCCCTTCAGGCGGCCGGCGGCGAGGCCAAATCGGAGACTTCCCGCACCCGCGACCACCCCGCGGCTTCCTGGAGGCGGCGGCCCCGATTGCGAGGTAGCGGCCGCGGCGCCCCCGTGCGGGCCAGGGTCACCCCCTCCCTCCCCAGGCGGACCTGCCACCCGGACCCAGGGGGCGCGTCGGGCTGGGCGCGCCTGGCGGGGCCCGGCGCCTGGGGAGGGGCCTGCTCCCGGGGGCAGGACGGCGCCCAGAGGCCCGGGCCAGCGGGGAGGGCCGGGCGGGGGCGGGGACGCGGGCCAAGGCCGCCACCCGTCAGGCGCGCCGGGGCCCCGCTCTTGCTCCAGGCGCCGCGCACTGGCCGGCGGGGCCGGGGACGGCCGGGGAGGCGGCGCCGGCCCGCGGGGCGGGGGCCCCGAAGTGGGTTTCGGGCAGCCACCCGCGCTGGCACCGGGCGCAGAGGGCGGCGCGCGGCGGACTCCGTGCCCGGGCACCGCACCGGGCCGCCTCCGGATCTGCCATTCTGCCCCGGCCCGGAAAACCCGGCGCCTTCCAGGCCCTTCGAAAGATGGATTCTGTTGACGTATTTGGCGGCCCTGGCGAGCCGGGTGGAAAGTTGGGTTTTGCCAGATCGTGCTGGGCTCCTCTTTGTGACACTCAGCCAGCCCCGCATCCCCCTGGAGCCGGGTGAGTGTGCGTCGGCGCTCAGGGAGCCCGGTGCCCCCCAATGCCCAGTCCCGGGGTGGCCGCACCAGCTCGGGCTTTCTGCCATGTTAGGCACTGAGCAATGTCCTCGCTGCATTTTTTTGCGTGCGTTTCAGTGGCGCCTTTTGCTGCGGAGGGAGTTATTGCGTCTCTCCGCGTTGGCTTTTTCGGGGTTGGGGTTGTGCTCTGTGTGTTTGCTTGTTTGCCGTTTAAAGCCCGACTATTGTTCAGGATAAGCTCCGCCTGGGTGGGGAAATGGCATCCCACCACAGTTGCTGGCGAGGGGTAGAAATGTTGCCAAACAGCTGCTGCTTTGTGTTTCCCTATCAGAAGTCCCTGGAGTAGGTTTGGGGCACGACGGATGGATGGAGAGAGGGATGGGGTACGAAGGAAGAAGGTGGCTTTGGAGGAGCGGATTGTCACCCACCCCCCTGGCATGCAGTCAGCCCTCCTTTCTGCCTGCCAAACTTTTATGAATATTCCTTTTGTGGCGGGGGGAAGCTTAATTGAATTTAGCCTATTTTCTAAGGAACTGCAACCCGGCTTTAACAATGGTTTGGGAACTTAATCAATGAGAAAGGCAGGGGAGGAGGAGGAGACGCTGACACCATATGGGGATGTGGCTGCTTCTTGCAGAGTCAGGTAGAGGAGAGGTGGGCTGGGCAGGGTGTAGCGCCCGGGTGGCCTCGTTCCCGGAACTGTTGGTAGCTCTTACCTGTGCCCACTAGTGCCACCCACCCTCGTGCCCCCACCTTCTGGGCTGCCCAGAAACTGGCGATCAGGCTTGAGAGGCAGCTTGCGGCAGCGAGCGGGCCAGCCCCCCTCATCTGGCGTTTTTAAGGATGTGTAAATATTTTGCTGAGGATAAGTGACATCAACAGAATGATATTCCGCAGAGCCCGGGTGTACGGCGATGATAAATAGATACGGCCAAACAAAGTTTTGATAACCGCGTATTCTCATGGCTCGCTCTGTTTCATTTGGGTCTTTGTTTTTGTTGGTTTAGCATTATCTCGCATCCTCTGGTGTGATCCCTTTATTTAGCCGATTCTTGGACGGTCTCTTTAGAACAGAGAGAAAAGCAGCCAGCAGGGAGAAAACAATTCTTAGCCTTAACGTGCATCAGGCAAGGTTTTCTGTGCTTTTCCCAGGGGCTCTTTCCCACCGTTTTCTAGATGTCTCTCTTCCTCCTTTTGAGTCCTCAGAATTGTTTGTTGGTAGACCAAGAGACTTCGGCTAACTTTGCAAACGCTGTGCGGCAGTACCTTTTGTTACAGTGGAGGAGTGGTGGTGTGGGAGGGGGACACTAAGGAGGCCAGTGGGTGGCAGAGCCCCTCCCCAGTGCCACACTGCACTTCCACCCCCAGCTTTTCGTACAGTTTTCTCCTCAAAGGGCAACATGAGGCTGTGCCACTTGCAGAAGCCAGGGGTGGGCTGGAAGGCGCAGCGTCGTAAGCCTGGTGGCATCCATTTCTCTGCCTTTTAGATGCGCAGAGACCCTCCCCCACCCCAGTTACCCCACTCCCTCCACATATGCACAGTATCCTGCAAATGGACACTTGATTCTCATCCTGACAGATGCCCACTAGAGGCGTGTCCAAGGTGGACTTGGCACTGTGAACCAAGTCAGACTGGAACTTTGGGGGACTGACTGCTTTGGCACCAACCTGGGGACCATTCAGCCACCCCGAGGGTGCTTTTATTATTCAAAGCATCCTAGACCTCGTGATAAGGTTTGGCCAGGGAGAAACTGCTCATCTCAGGAACAAATGAGAAAACAGTTTTCCAGGTGAAGCCAGTTGCTGGCATGACGACTCAGTTGGTGCGCAGCTGGGGCAAGAACTGTAAAATAAATTGTAAAATCGTGTATCCAGACCACAGAGGCACTGAGACCATGTGAGCAGCAAGAAGGAAAAAGCAAAGGCTGGGAGGCTATATGGCCAGGTGTTACCTGGAGGATTCTAACACCAGCAGCCAGAGAGCTCTGCCTATAACAACCCAGAAACTGAGGATAGGATTGGTCTCAAATCCCTTGACCCAGATTGGTGATATTCTGTATGTACAGATAGCTATACATAATGTGCTCCAAATCCACAATAAGAAAATACCAACTGTCTGTTCTCTGGCTCCTCCTCTAACCTTAGATTTTGTGGGAGGAGGGAGGCAAGTGGAGGAAAATAAATTGGGAAGGAAGCTAGCATTTATTGTTGCCCTCTGTCTGCCAGGCACTTCACATGTGGGAAACCTTTTCAGTGACCCTGTGACCCCTAAGAAAGCATTATTTTACAGATAATGCTCAGAGAAATTTCCAGTCATGAGTCTGAATCCAGACTTTGGTGGTTATGATTTAAAGGGGCAATATGTCCTCTGCCCCTGCTCAAAGTCTTTTATTTATTTCTCCCAACAGGCCAGAATCCTCAGTCCATCCCCCTTCATAAAATATGCTACCTAATTGGTGTGGGGGTGGGGTGGGGTGGGGGAGGAAGCCCACCAGTGAGGCAGCCCAGTTACCCATGATACGCATTTATGTTTCAGGTGTATAGATCCAAAATGGTGCCTTTTCATCCAGGAATTCCCAATTCCCTATTGTTGCTAGAGAGCTGAGTGACCAAATGATGAAGCTATTGGAGTGAATGGTGATGGGGAGAGAGCTGTCAATCATTGTCAGGAGAAATCCAGGGGTTTGTGTGTTTGCTGGGAACTCAAAAAGTTCCTGGTGTTATGCTCTGAGCCCTTGGTGGCTTCATGCTGACAAGCCCCAGTTTGATCCTTAACAACATCCATGTGAGATGGGTATTATCAATTGCAACTTTCTAGATGAGGAAATGGAGGTTCAGACAGGTTAAGTGATTAGCCCAAGGTCGATGGTGAGACCAAAGGGAATGAGGTATTTTTTATTTGTTACTGTCTCAAATAAATAAACATTAAATAAAAATGAGTAGGGGACTTGCTATGCAGATGCATCATCAAAGCAAATCCCTAGCCTCCTTCCAAACAGATGGTATGGTAGCCTTTTACCCTCTAGAAATTCTGGAGCTATTGCTAGAGCCAGGATTTGAATCCATATGTGAGGGGCTTCTGATTCTGCTGTCTCTGATTAGAATATGAGGGGGACCCCAGAGAATAAGGCTCTTCTGGAAGGGGGAAATGGCTAAATTATACTTTCCCCATGCACAAAAGCCTGCGTGGGATTCTGAATTAAGCTTGATTTGGGGATCAGGGTGACATCTTTGCTGTAGAGTTGGCAGCTCTTGTCTTTAGAGAATGCCTCTGATTACCACTTCTCCCTCCCACCTGACGGTCTGCCTGGGTACCCATCATCTTGTTGTTTCCGGATTCAAGACCTCTCCTTTGTGGCTCACAATTTTTGATGAGCCTCTTGAGTCTGCTGCTCCCCTGCGTTCTGATGGCAGCTGGTGAGGAGGGGATTTTGGCGACCACATTAGTATTTCTGGATTTCACACATGACCCTCCTTCTCTCTCTGGCCAAGGAAACACACAAACACACATGCATGCTCAGACACAGGCACATATAATTTGATCATGTTCTGTATCTGCTTCACCAAATTAGATTGCAAACCCAGAATTGTTACTGAAAGAAGTACATGACTTTGGTGATCTGTCCTAGCCCTTGCCCTGAACAAAACAGGAACTCAGAAGGAGGTGGCTCAACCAGTAGATGCAATGTTCATACCTGTTGGCCTTTCCACAGCTGTGGGACAATTTCCCCACAATGTAGGTATGGTCGGTCATAGTCTATTTGGGCTGCTATAACAAAAGATCATAAACTAGATGGCCTATGAACAATGGAAATTTATTTTTCACAGTTCTAGGAGCTGGGAACTCCAAGATCAAATTGCTAGCAAGAGTCACTGTTTAGTGAAGGCCTGTTTCCTGGTTCATAGATGGTGACTTCTTATTGTGCCCTCAAATGGCAGAAAGGGCAAACAAGCTCCCTGGGGTCTCTTTCATAAGAGCACTAATCCCATTGATGAGAGCTCTGCTCTCCTGATCTGATTGTGTCCCAAAGTCCCCACTTCTTAATCCCATCACCTTGAGGATTAAACTTTAAACGTATGAATTTTGGAGAGGATACAAACATTTAGACCATGCATGGTTCCAGGGCCTTTCATAAAGCCCATTTTAATCTGCATTTAGAGGTAGAGCTGGTATACTAGAATATCCCAATCCTGGTAGTTGCAATTTTTGCTGTCATAATTAGCTCTAATAACTCAATAATTATAGAGAATTTTGGAGCATGCCCTATTTAAACCTGTTACTCCCCTTTCCATGGCCTTTTGGTCTTTCAGCTTAGCACTGTGCAGTAGAAATTCCTATGGTGATGGAAATGTCTTATATCTTTGTTATCCCATACCATAGCTGTTAGTTGCATGTAGCTATGGAGCACCTGAAAGGCACCTAATCCAAATTAGGGTGTGCTATAAATGAAATATAAGCATTAGATTTTCAAGACTTGGTACAAAAAAAGCTTACTGATAATTTTTGTCTTGATTACATAGAGAAATTATATTTGGGATATATTGCTAAAGATAATAGAGCATTAAAATTAATATTGTCTGTTTATGTTAATTTTCAATGTGCCTACTAGAACATTCTAAATTACATAGTTATTTCTATTAGCACTGCTCTGGAGCACACTAGTCACCAAACTTGTGACGTCATGGCTTCTTCAGATGTGCTAGGGGCATAAATGCCCTCTGTCTGGATGGTAGATGAGAGGCCTGGGGCTGATTCAGTAGCCACAACAGCCTGGTGTCAGATGATTTTGATTTTCAGCAGCTGGGGTGGTATTTTGGGGGGTCCCCATCAGGCTTACCCATGAGCATATTTGTTTAGTTGTGTTCTGTGAAGAATGTGGGTCCCAGAAATCTAATGGAGAGAGCAAGGCAGGGGTAGGGGAGCAAAGACCAGGCTGGCTTGAACAAAATGGCCTCTTGTCTTACTCTTTCCACCACCCAGCC